AAAGAAAGAAGGAAGGAAGGAAGGGAGGGAGGGAGGGAGGGAGGGAGGGAGGGAAAGGAAGAGAGAGAGAGAGAAAGAAAGAAAGAAAGAAAGAAGAAAGATAGCACAGCAATTGTAAGGAAAGAAACAAAATTTAGTTCTTCAATTATATCCTTCTATGTGACCCCTAAGAATTTTTATTTGTGCTTAAGTATGAAACAAACCATGTAAACCACGATGTACAATTATTTTGTTTGGTAAATGCAAATTTTAGTTCATAGATGACATACATTCATTTTATTTCATGATTATTACTGAAAATAATTGGGTTGTACAAGGAAGAAAGGGGTGTTAAAAAATGAAAGGCTCTGGATGTCATATATATTAGAAACTAGGCATCAGATCAGATCCCATTCTTTTTTTTTAAATTTCAGGATATTATGGGGGTACAAATGTTAAGGTTACGCCCCCCCCTCGAGTCAGAGCTTCAAGCGTGACCATCCCCCAAACAGTGCACATCTTACTCCTTGTGTTAGTATATACCCACCCCCTCCTCCCCCCTCCCACCTGCCTGACACCTGATAAATATTTTTCCTATATGTCCACTTAGGTGTTGATCCATTAATATCAATTTGCTGGTGAGTACATGTGCGTGTTTCTCCATTCTCAAGATACTTAGTAGAATGGGTTCCAGCTCTATCCAGGAAAATATAAGAGGTGCTATATCACCATTGTTTCTTAAAGCTGAATAGTACTCCATGGTATACATATACCACATTTTATTAATGCACGCATGTATTGATGGGCACTTGGGTTGTTTCCACAACTTTGCAATTGTGAATTGTGCTGATATAAACATTTGAGTGCAGGTGTCTTTTTCATAAAGTGACTTTTGATCTTTTGGGTAGATGCCCAGTAGTGGAATTGCTGGATCAAATAGTAGATATGCTTGTATCGCTTTAAGGTATCTCTATATTGCTTTCCACAGAGGTTGAACTAGTTTGCAGTCCCCAGATCCTATTCTTTAATGACTTGAAAACAATCATTTCAATAAATACAGAAATAGTGGCATTGTGCAAAAAGCATGGGCTTCAGAATTGGATAGATCCAAATTTGAATTCAGGCTCCACCTTCTCCTGGGCAGACTTTGGACAAGGCATTTAGACCGTTTGTCTGTTTAATGGGGATAACAATATCTCCCTTGTAAGAATGTGTTGCTCACCAAAAACAAGAACAAATGGCCTGGTTAGTATATTCAGAGCACTAAGGGTAAATAATTCAACCCAGGAACCTAATCCCCTATACTAAAAATACTAAAAATATTTCAGTGAGAATGAAATAAAGATATTTTCATTAAGATAAAAATAAAGATTAAAAACTGAAAGTGTTTATTATTTATAAGACCCAGGCTGAAAGAACTAATAAATAATAAATTTTAGGAAAAAGATTATGGAATTTAGAAGGGGGATGGAAGATGAAATGGAGAACAAAGAAATTTGTAAGCATGGACTATCTAAATATTGACTGTAAGAAAAAAATTAGGAAATTTTAAAAGAAAATGAAACCCATATAATGTATACCCCAAACTCAATTACTCCATAAATTGTAGACTATGAGGACCTCTGTAGAAAAAAACACACTCAAACTCAAAGTGCTTTTCTGTTCTCTCACTCGACAACAATCAACACAGAAGACTTCTGTGACCAAATTGGCATGGAGTGATCTCCCCACCACCAACCAAGCGATCAGTTCTGCAATTCTGATGCTATCTACCTGTATACACACACACACACACACACACACACGACCCTTTATATAAACAAGGACATTTTGTAGATTTTATTTCACTTTACCTGTCTCTCTTCAGTGATGGCCTACTACATCTTTCTTATGTATAAAGAAATATATAACAAAAATTCAAAGATAATAAAAATAGTGATGTCGGCTGGGCGAGGTGGCTCACGCCTGTAATCCTAGCACTCTGGGAGGCCGAGGCGGGCGGATTGCTCAAGGTCAGGAGTTCGAAACCAGCCTGAGCAAGAGCGAGACCCCGTCTCTACTATAAATAGAAACAAATTAATTGGCCAACTAATATATATATAGAAAAAATTAGCCGGGCATGGTGGCGCATGTCTGTAGTCCCAGCTACTCGGGAGACTGAGGCAGGAGGATGGCTTGAGCCCAGGAGTTTGAGGTTGCTGTGAGCTAGGCTGATGCCATGGCACTCTAGCTTAGGCAACAAAGTGAGACTCTGTCTCAAAAAAAAAAAAAAAAAAAAAAGATGTCAAAAATATTTTTTGTTGATGCTACTGTTATTACTCCCTTAAGCTGATTCTATTTGAAAATGCATACTGTTTATTTCATTGTTTTTTATCTTGGACCTATGGAGATCCATGGATGATGAAGACTATGTTCTTTTCTCTTATGCATTTGACTGGTATTCATTCTGGACACAAATTGATCCTTGATTTAGTCAAGGTAATTCACATGATTTTATTAGTCATATAGCATTAATAATGGTGTCAAAAATGTCAAAATTGGCCAGGCGTGGTGGCTCACACCTGTAATCCTAGCACTCTGGGAGGCTGAGGTGGGAGGATTGCTTGAGCTCAGGAGTTCGAGACCAGCCTGAGCAAGAGCAAGACCCCATCCCTACTAAAAATAGAACAAAATTAGCTGGACAACTAAAAAAAAAAAAAAAAAAACACCGAAGATAGAAAGCACAAGAGGATTGTGTAGGAAGTCTTGGATGTTGAAAGAGAAGCTGGGGATGTGTATGTAGGTGGGTACCCAGGATGTGAGGAAAATGGGTTTGCTGATTATATATCCTGGTGTTTGCTATGAGACAGATGGTTTTTGTTTTGCAAGTATGAAAAAGATAACAGGAATGATTAAATTATGCAGCGGCCACATTTATAATTTATCATTGATGGTTTTTCCAAGTTAATTACATTCTATTATTTCCTGATAGCCATCAGCATGAGCCCTATTGCCTAAACACTATTTCATTTATTTATGCATTTGAAACACTCATTACTTTTTTAAAATATGAAGCTTGCATCTTAGTTAATGTGATGAGAAGAGTTTATTTGTTATGTCACTTTGATTAAAAAAGTTTATCAACATTTTGTCTTATAAAATTTCACCTAGAAGTATGCATCATCTTCAATTCTATATTTAAAGACATAACATTCTTTGATAGAGGCTTGATGATTGACAAGCACTTTATGCCCCTCCATGTGGCCTGGGGAGAACACTTTGATGCTGGGCAGCCCTAAGCTCTCCCACCTGTGAACTCTGAATCCTGACTCTGTGAACTTTCATAGAAGAAGAAAGCTCTCCAGCCAAGCAGAAGTAGAGCAACTCTTCAAGTCTGCCTGCTGTCAGAGGTGGTGCTAGCACTTCCTGGAATAGTGTTGCTTTGGATTTAACAGCAGTTGGGCAAAGGAGTTCAGTATACATATGAGGGAAAAAGAGGTGTTGCATCAAAGGGGGCCGAGTCATTGGTTCTGGCTTCACCCGAGGAATACAGTCTGATTCTGGTGAGAAACTGAGGGAGTGACAATCCTGGGAAGTCTGGTGTTCAGCATGGAGAATGGAAGAATCTTTCCTATCTTGGTGTGTTTCTTTCCTGCCCCTTGACTGCTCACAAGGAGACTTAACTTCAGATTGCCTGGCTTCCGATGCCCTGCCCTTTTTGAGGAAGGAAGGTTGTTTTCAAACCACCTAAGTAGTTTACAATGGTTTGACGGCTGGGGGCAGGGAGATGGGGCAATCTACCTTCCCGATTCAACTGTCATTATCAAATGGGAAAAGCAATCTTGGAGAGTTTTAACTCAAATAAGGAGGTGCCAGAGGTCTCATAGAACACAGAAAATCCCCTTAGCTGGCATTTTCTGGTATTGTTGGGGCCACGCTAACATGGATGTGTCTAACTCATGACCTGTATCACAGACTAATACAAAAAGATAAAGAAGCATGACCAAGTTTCAGGCCCACACATTGTCTGGCAGTGCTTTTGTGTCCCCCGGTCTGTGAATAGCAGCAGAGCGGTTTGTTGTTAATGTAAAATGCTGGATGAGAGGATGACACCCAAGGGGGAGAGGGACAAGGCAGCTTCGCCTGGGGACTGCTGTGGAGCTGTGCAGCCCGCGGAGGGAGACAGTCCCCTCCAGGTGAGGGTTTGGTGTGTGGCACCAGTCAACTGTGACTACATCGAGAGGCCTCTGATTCTGCAAAAAGAGGAAAGGGGAGAAAGGCGTATTTCCAAGCAGCTCTGGGAAGGAGCCTCATGTCTCAGCTCAAAACTCCTTAACTTTCTTCCTCCTCCTTCTCTTTTCGTTCCGTTGGTTGACAATGGCCCTTCAGTGTGGCAAGTTCTGACCTCCCTCACTGAGCTGATGGACAGGCTGAGTAAGTGCCTGTTTAATAAGCACCTAATGACGCAGGCATTTTCCACCAAGGTTCTCTTTTGTATTCCTCGCAGGCGGGTCATTCACATCTGGCAAAGAACAGAAGAGCTTTGGTTTTAGGTCATGTTAGCCTTTGCCATATTCGGAAAAGGGTCCATCCCTTGTCACATCTGGACTTTGTGGCTGAGTCTACTGGAATCATTTTTGGCTATTGCTGCGGAGCTCGTGTGTCCAGCCACTGGACTTATCTAGGACACAGGCGAGAGTGTGGATGTACGCAAATGAAACTAGTGACTAGTTGAGTGACCTTCACTCCCAGTGTGAAGGTATGTGTATTGATCGGACTCTTGGAAGACCCTCTGCTGCTTACTTCACACAAAGTAAAAACTAACATTCTCTGTCAATTTACTAATAAAATCAGGCCCAGATTCAAGTTGGCCGAGGAGAAAGACCCTCCTCAAACTTAGGGGTACCTACACTTTAGAGCTGCAACTTCTAGTCTTCCTCTCCTGGTCTTCTCTGTTGCCAATCTTTGAAGGCAGGGGACTGATTTTGATAAGGGAGTGGTAATATTTACTACATATGGTTTAGTGGATTATACTCTACATTATGGTTATTTGGATTAATGGGATTAATTTAGCTATTGAGTTGTCCAGATACAGCAGTAAGAGTAGGAGCTTCAAGGCAGAAAATCAGCTTTCCTTTCCAGCCTTGGCTCCGGACCCTGTAGTCGCTGGGATGTTGATGCCCAGGAAGAACCCAATTGCCATTTATGAACTCCTTTTTAAGGAGGGAGTCATGGTGGCCAAGAAAGATGTCCACATGCCTAAACATGGAGAATTGGCAGACAAGAACGTGCCCAACCTTCACGTCATGAAGGCCATGCAGTCTCTCAAGTCACGAGGCTACGTGAAGGAACAGTTTGCCTGGAGACATTTCTACTGGTGCCTTACCAACGAGGATATCCGGTATCTCCATCATTATCTCCACTTGCCCCCTGAGATCGTGCCTGCCACCTTGCGCCGCAGCCGCCCAGAGACGGGCAGACCTCCGCCGAAAGGTCTGGAAGGTGAGCGACCTGCAAGACTCACAAGAAGGGAAGCTGAGAGAGACACCTACAGGCGGAGTGCTGTGCCCCCAGGTGCTGCAAGAAAGCCTAGGCTGGGGCTGCGTCAGCAACCGAATTCCAGTTTAGAGCCGGATTTGGTCGTGGATGTGGTCAGCCACTTCAGTAATATTGGAGGGGGGTGTTATTTTGTGTTGAATAAACCTGTAGCCAGAAAGAAAAAAAAAGGGGGGGGGAGAAAATCATAGAATTGGCCAAATTTCCACGAGATCTTAGGTATCACGAAGATAGATCTTGAGGCTCAGTACTACATGGGAGGCTGAAAATGAATCGTGGCAGTTGATATGCAAGTGTGGCTTTTACAGAAGGTTAAGCCACCTAGGGAAGAGCCAGCCAACAGGACCGAGCAGTCAATTCCCCAGCTAAAGGGCCATGAGGACAAAGTGACTGCAGGAGAGCTAGAAAGGTGCCCAGCAAGGTAACGAGGCAGCCTTGCTGAGGGCTGCAAACCAAGTCTGAGTAAGGGCATGTTATAAGGCCAATTATTGAGTGGCGTTGCTTTCTCTTTATTCTGTAACTCCATGATTTTTTAATATTCCTGATCTTGACTGGCTGCTATTGCACCCTAGTGCTGGGCAATGTCCATTCAGAGCAAGAGCACCTTTTCCTAATTGGTACAAAGGTGAAGTAGGGGCCGGCTGTGGCCCTGGCTATGCTTCAGATAATCAAGAGAGGAGTTTTAAGTCTGTGATTGGGTCAAATGTTAAAGGGGGACCGGGCTGTGCCTGAGGTCAGTGATAATTCGTGAAAGAGCCACAAGAGAAAGGGACATCGGAGATGCAGATGGCATCGGAAGTCTAAGGCAGAACCTCCAAGTCTCAAGTGTGTTGCAATTGTGCCTCAATATTGAGCTGCTTAACCCTTGGGGGAAGCTGGCCAAACCCTGGGGCAGCCAGAGCCTCTATACTGATCGCTGCTGGCTGGGAGTAGCCTTGTCCATTTGCCTAATGTGCACACAATACGATTATATTCGCAGAGTGCCATGATGTTAATACGTTTGGGGAACACTGCTGTTCCCCAAACTTGTCAAAGGGCCTGGGAATGATGTCTTAAAGGAAATGTGTAGTCTTCCTTATTGTTGGTTATCTGGTTTCCAGAACCAGCACACACTAATATCAGGCAATGATAAAGTGGGACAATGTTTGCTGAAGAACTATGAACTACAACTGGCTTCTAAGCCAGCAGTGATGGAGAATCCTGCAGTGAATGGGCACAGGTTGCTGCAAAGGATGGACTCTGGAACGTTGGACAGAATGGGGCTATTTAACTCAGAGTTAAGTAGCTGTGAGCATCTCTATCTAAAACTGACAAGGCCACTCTTACTCTTCTTAGTGCCAGTAGTGTGTGCCTGTGGTACTCTCAGCTACTGATGACATGGTTATGTTGATTCTCTCCTTGAACTGTCTCCCAGGCAGACTCCTTTGCATCCTCCTTAATTATCTCTCTCCCTTTCTTAAGAGCCAGGGCTTCCACACACGGTTGCACAGTGCACAGCCCGCACAACTCTGTGCCGAGAGCCTTGATATTCTCCACTGGCTACTGAATAAAGGTCAAAGTCTGCAGTCTGGCATGCAAGAGCCTCCATGATCTAGCATCAGTCTACCCAAATCAGTGAAGATCCTGGCTGGAAATGCATGGTCTACTCAAAGGGTTTAACTGAGAAGGATTTACAGACTATTTGCGGACTATTGACAGAGTGATGAAGCAGTCAGCCATAGCGAAGCTGTTACCACTCCTAGGGCTGCAAGGTAAGGGAAAGCAAGCAACGCTTTTTCTTGGATGTGGGTGGCTACTTCCCCAGACTTTTAAATGGGAAGTTGAGACTGAATTTCAGTGAACTGCGGGGGTTTCCAGTTTGTAATCACAAGGGCTTCCTAACTGTAAGATTGATGACTCAATGAATGGGCTTCTTGCAGAGGAAATGGTGTGTGGTGGAATCTTTTCTCATGGTCTTTAAGCATATATTAATGTATAAGGCCATGTCTAATTTTCTTTGTTTTTGGAGGAAAGAGAGAATATAAATATTCCCCATCTTTAAAAAGATTCCCCCCAAAAAACAAAACAAACAAACAAAAAAGATCCCTGTCAGCAGTCACTTACTCTGCTCCTTTTTTTTTTGAGACAGAGTCTCACCTTGTTGCCCAGGCTAGAGTGTCATTTTAAACTTCTTAATTGTCATTTCAGTTGAATTTGAAAGAGAAAACTTGGTAGATGCGGGAATTCTGTCCTCTACTGGATTTAGAACTTCTATAGCTTTTAAAACTGAATGCATTACTATGACCAAGTTTTCCTTGTTCCTTTAGGTCAGGTGTCCTCAAACTAAGCCCCGTGGGGCACATGTGGCCCACCAAGGACATTTATTTGGCCCGCCAGGTGTTTTTGCTGCCTGCAGCTGCCTGTTCTGCTTAGCAGCCGACTCATCCAGGGCCCACAGTGCGCATGTGTGGAATGTGCACCGCACTCTCCAACGGCCCTCCAACGGTCTGAGGGACAGTGAACTGGCCCCCTGTTTAAAAAGTTTGAGGAACTTAAGGGCCAATTGATTGCTAATTTTTCTTAAGTTCTGACTTTTCCTCTCTTGGTTGCTCCTCATGCATTTTGAGAATCTTCTCTTTACTTATGGTGTTGACCATTTTTTTAATGAATGCCTGTTCCTACATGGTGAGCTTTTCCCACTCACCGGCCCTTAGCACTAAGTTGGGGACCCACTATTCAATCTTTTATCAGCTGGAGGAAATTTCCTGCTTCCCTGTGTCCTTGACTGATTTCTATGTTTTTTCTAGAACCTCCCTTGGAACAGATACTGGATTGGTTGACCTGGAAAGTCTTCTATTATCCTTTCAACCTTTTGTCCCTCAAATATTTCACATCTTTTATTTTGTTCAACGGTCCAGATGTTCCTTCTACTTCCACTTTCACTCTCTTGTTAAAGTTGCCCCTTTGGTATTCATTTTAAATTTGCCAAAATTCCTTCCTTCATTTTTTTTTTTTTGAACAGAGTCTCACTTTGGTTTGCCCTAGCCCTTTGAGTGAGTGCCGTGGCGTACCTAGCCACAGCAACTCAAAATCCTTGGCCAAAGCAATCCCTTCCCCCCTGCCCCCTAGCTCCCAAGTACCTGGGAACTACCAGGCAATGCCAGCCACCCATGCGGCCTTTTAATTTTTTCCTATATTTATTAGTTTGGCCCAATTAATTTTTCTTTCTATTAAAGTAGAGCGGGTCTCGGCTCCTTGCTTTCAAGGCTTGGTTTTTGAAAAAACTCCTGAAACCCTCGAGCAATCCCACCGGCCTTCGGCCTCCCAGAAGAGCTTAAGGATTACAGGCGTGGAGCCACCGCCTTCCCGGACCTTCTCATTTTCTTTGGAATTACACTTTTTTTTTTAAATAGTAGCTGCTTATTGTTGGGGCCCCAATTATTTCCTCAAATTTCCTTAATGTTATTAATTAGAAATCAAAAAATATGGCCCCTTCGGTTTTCCTGAATTATCCCCATTTTCCTTTCTAGGGAAATGTCTTTTGTTTATTTGGTCTTTTTTGCTAATTGATGTGCAAAGTTATTTGCCTCGAATGTCCTCGACAATTCGTTCCTGGCCTTCATGTGAGCTGGTTTTTGCTCCTTTTTACAACTTATTCATTCCTTTCTCTTTTGAGATCCTGAATTTCAGCCTGGGGCAAACCACTGAATGTGTCAGTTGTTTTAGCTTAATGGAATGGGAGGGGACTGGGAAGGGCCAACTGGATACAGATTTCAATTAATCAACCTAATTAGCCGTCAGTCCTGTGAGTTTCGGCTTGAGGGCTCTCAGGAATCCTGCAAAGAACACATCCTTCCGCAGATGCAGCCTTCTTCTGTGAGTAAGTTCTAGGCTGCAGCCTCCTCCACCCATCAACCTAAAAGGCTATTGACTTTCCATTTTCTCAGAAAGCATCAAAGTCTATGCTCTTGTTTGTCATGCAGTTTGGCTTGATCCTCATTTTTAAATTTCTTTCTTTCTTCTTTTTTTTTTTTTTTGGAGAACAGAGTGCCTTAAACTTTTTTTGCCCCCGTAATAAATGAATAAATTGAGCTTTGTTTTTCAATAAATTATCATTTAATTTAGGACATATATTAGTGCATGAGAGTACTTTGTAAAAGACCAAGCAGAGGATGGTGTCAGGCACATTTGACAGGGTTCATGCAATAAAACCTTCCAGGAAATGCGTGGATTAGGTGTCTTTGGACACGCCTTCCAGCCATTGATTTTGTCGTGGTTGTTGATAACTTACCAAAAAATTAAAGAATGTTTCTCTAGAACTAACTGGTAGCAATACTGAGCAATTGCTCTAAGAGTCAACCATGTAAGTATGAAATTCTTAGCCGCTGCATTTCCTTTTCAGCGAACTGGGGCAGAGGGTAAGACATATCTGCACAGGTTTCTTTCTCATTGTGTATAACCACCATCTTTAATCCTGAACCATTCAACCTTTCCTGCTACTATACTCTGCACCCTCGCACCGTTTCCATTGCCTGTCTCTGATGGTGATTCTTGAAGTTTCTTGATTTATCTCAGTGCAGCATCAACCACCACTGGCCCCTTCCCCCCTTTTTGATGGTGGCATGGGGGGCTTAGAAGTGGTACTTTAGGAGTTGGACAGGGACAGAATGGACTAGGTTGGAGAAGGGGCTTTGGGACTCGGATAGGAGTGGGGGTTAGTGTACGCTGAGGGTCTTCCAGATGTAAGACATGGTGTGGCTGCAGGGTGAATGGGTTTGGAGAGAACTAACGGGTATCGAATGGGCTGGATGCGCAAACAGTTAAAGAAGATAGAAGGAAATGCTTTAACTTCCTCCAAGTATTGCTCCCACTAGTGGCTCAGTCGCACTGATTAAAATGCAATCAAGTAGCAACTTGGATGTCTGAGAAGACCTATGAGTGCCAAAGGTGTGTGCTCACTTTTTCCCTTTCACCAGAACTGGCTCACAGATGATGAAAACAGGTATGATGTCAGGCCTCTCCTCTTTCATCTGCACCATGGCACTGGTGGGTCAGGGTATCTCATTTCTCCAACATTTGTTGAAGCTATTAATACTTCCCTTACTTCCTTTCCTGTTCAAAGTGCTTAAGGGA